CTCTCTCTCTCTCTCTCTCTCTCTCTCTCTCTCTCTCTCTCTCTCTCTCTCTCTCTCGGTGTCTGTGTGTTTGTGATATCTGCATCATCTGGCTTCTATTTTATGCGGCTGATAGAGCCTGGTGATTTATGACACATCTACAACAATACGGACTCAGCGGAATCAAAGCTTCTTATTGTCGCTATTGTGGAAGAACACGAGAATTCACGTGTTGAGCTTTTATGTAATATTTTAAGTTAAGCACACAAATATTGTATTGCAGCAATATGTATTATATCACCATTCTCAGTGAAATTGTGTTTTTTATGATACTTAATTATGCAATTATATAATTAATATTAAGTATAATTAAGTATTATAAAAACACAATTTCGCTGAGAATGGCGATGGCATCGGTGCACCGTGAATGTATAAACGTCCGCAAAGATTCCAAATCCCACTCCCAACTAAACACGTTAACCTATAGCTAACGTTGGGGCGAGGGGGGTCTTCGGCGTGTTAGGCTGTATCCGGATCCTCTTGCATGAGCCTAACCTTCTCTCGGAGACCTTGATGGGATGGGGATGTGGGCTATTACAGCTTCTTCTTATATAGTGTTGTTTACCCGCAGACTGGGTCACCAGAGATTAACTGCTTCCTTAAGTGTAAGCGAGTGTGGTATGGGCGTGAGAGGGCGCGCGGCACATTTCTGCCGCTAGAGGGCTGGCGGGGTGAGATTGTTGTAAACAGCTTTAGCGCGCACGGCGGGTGGTTGATGGCGGGGCGGTACCGTGGAAGAGGGCCACGCGACGGTCATGCTAGCATCAGCCATGCCTGCATCAGCAGCAGTGATAGTTGTAGTAGTAGCAGCAGTAGTAGCAGCAGCAGCAGCAGTAGCAGTAGCAATATCATCATCATCAGCGGTAGCATCATCAACGTCGTCAGCTGCAGCAGCAGCAGTAGCTTGCATTGCCTGTAAGTGCCCTAACCCACGAGTGAAGCCATAACGAGCAAGATAGAGGATAACGCAGGGTGATGGGAGAGAGATGCAACAATTGAACAATTGAAATTTTTTATAAAAATGACAGCAATACACATTCGTCTCACAATTGTAAACAGAATGAGAAACCCGTCGAATTTAACACGAAAGGGGGAACAAAAATGAATGATCACTTAGTGATGTCTTTCTTGCACAAAGGCTGGCCATGATCGCACGACATGCTGCTGGGTAACTATGATACTACAGAGACCAGTCAGTCCCTTCAAGGTGCACGCAATTTCCCGGTGGAATATATACAGAATCCATCATGTTTGAGAGGACAAAAGTGAGAGCGCTCTTAATGCTATGCGTGGCGCATCATCGTCGGCAGCGGCGGTGGCGGCGGCGGCATCGTCACACGTCGCTCAGCATGATTCATCCACGGCTTCCGGCATGACTTTCACTCCAGTGTCGTGCTGACGCGACACCGCCAACTATATATATATATATATATATATATATATATATCCCTTATCCATTTATTGTCATCGCTGCGTCCGTCGTGCCTTATCCGGGCTGCCATCTAAATAAGCACGAAATTAATTTAAATGTATCGAAAGAATATGAGTGTTTAGTCCCCTCCCCCTCCCGCTGCCTTTCCTGACACATTCATCAATATTCATTGCAGTATAATAGCAGGTTATTGTCGCGTGAGATTGTGCGCAGGAAAGAGCAGATATGGCGATAGCGTCACAGCGTGATCCGGCGATCTTTGCCCCCCCACCCCTGAAACAGCGGGATTAATACTGAACGTGGGGCGTCACCCTGCCCGGGGGTGTCGTCGTGAGGTGTCGCAGCAAGGTGTATTGACATCGACGGGGGGGAAATCATGACTGGGAATGTTTCATTAGCGACGATGAGTGAAGGTTTGTTTGCAGCAGCAGAAGTCGATCTTTGTCAGCAGCACTGATTCTGTAATTTTATCCCTCTGGCGCCATCAGTGATATCAATATTATCAGCATTATCAACAATTCTCTATTGTCGTGAGCGAATCATTACTATAATTTGCCCGCCATCTATCATATCTATATTTTTATCGTCGTCGTTGTCGTCACCGTATTTCTATTGTCGTCAGTTTCGTCATTATGTGAACGTCATAGTCATCACCGCCGCCATCATTCACATTCGTGGACGTCATCGTCATCGTCGTCGTCATCGCCGTCATCAGCATCAGCACTAGCAGCAGCAGCATCATTGCTGTGTTATCGTGTTACCGCGGGTCTGTGTAGCAAGGCGTTGTGTCACCTCCCCCTCCTCCGCTCTGTCGCACCTCCCCCTCCTCCGCTCTGCAGCATCTCCCTCCTCCGCTCTGCAGCATCTCCCCCTCCTCCGCTCTGTCGCACCTCTCCCTCCTCCGCTCTGTCGCACCTCCCCCTCCTCCGCTCTGTCGCACCTCCCCCTCCTCCGCTCTGTCGCACCTCCCCTCCTCCGCTCTGTCGCACCTCTCCCTCCTTCGCTGTGTCGCACCTCTCCCTCCCCTGCCGTGGTAGCATGTACCTCCGACCTCCTCCGCCGTGCCTCGCCTCCCCGTGAGCTTGTCGTAACTATTGTCACCACGTCAACCATCCATCCATCCATCAGTCATCAGCCACGAGTTTATGCTGCCGCGGAGATGTGGGGGGATGCATGGAGGCTGGGGGATGCAGGGAGAAGACGAATGATGCGGGCGCAGGCGGGGGATCAGGAGGAGGCTGGGGATGCGGGAGGAGGCTGGGGATGCGGGAGGAGGCTGGAGGAGGAGGCTGGGGGATGCGGGAGGAGGCTGGAGGAGGAGGCTGGGGCGTGTCCGGCCGCACCGCTGCCAGGCAAGCGGCGAGAACAATAGCTGTTTGTTACGAGTCGTTGGCTCGGCCACTGACTCAGTCGCCGGCGGCATAATGGCGAATTTCACGAGCCAGCGAGCGGCGCACGTCGCCCGCCGACGACGCGCGATGCGGGCACTTCCGGCGGCGTCGGCGTCGGCGGACGGCCGGTAAGCGGTCACGCACGTCGCTACGGTTTCTCACCACTCTCTCTCATCCCTCAATACCGCTCTCTTATCACTGAATGGGAAAACATCTCAGTGCTGGGCGATGATTCAACGCGCGGTGTTCCTCCCCCCCTCCCCGGTGTACTACTACTTACTGCACTATCACGACCGTCTAGAGGAAGTGAAGATGTGGGGAGGGGAGGGGAGGGGAGGGAAGGGGGAGGGGAGGGGAGGGGAGGGAGGTACCCACCGTGGTTGCTGTCTATCCTGGCCTGCCTCCGCGCCGCACACTCCTCCACCCTCAGCTTAGGCATGCCGCTGGCGACAGCTTTCGCCATGCCTCCCATCTCCTCGACCTCATCAATGACCTTCTTCGCCGCTTCGTAAACCTCATCCGTCAGCGTCTCCATGAGGAACGATCCGCCCCACGGGTCCGCGACCTACGTAAACCAATCACGACGATCAACACCGGCGCCACCTATGCGGAGTATATAGACCGATCCCTGCAGAGTATCCACCTACGCTGACCAATTACAATTCATAATCAACCCTTCACACCAATCACAACTCACGACCATAATTCACAACTCAAAATTTCAGTCAATCACAACTCGTGTGAGAGAATCACTGCGGTGACAACAAGCCAATCTCGCGCAGTACCGGTGTAGCAACCAGAGGCGTGTTCAGGAGAGCGAACGCTCGCCTTCTGAACGACAATGCGCGAGCGAGCACTCGCACGCTTTAGAGGCTATTCGTATACCTTGGCATGCTTTAAGATATAAGCATATATCAGATGTACTGTATGCTAACATACATGTATACATTATCCATAAAGTACGGTATGGCAGTGTATAGTAATGATTGCTATTTTCGAATATATAGAATATTCAACGCATCGCGCTTTGCAAAATGCGAGACCGGCTCGTCACTATGAATGCCGGTAAATCGTAGACGCGGCAGGTAGGAAGAGAGGCGTGGGGTGACCTTGGTTATCCCGGACTCCTCCTGTATTATGATCTGTGTGTTACGAGCGATGCGTGCGCTGTGGACGGTGGGAAGACCCAGCGCCTCGTCGAACGCGTTCGTGTGCAGGGACTGAGTGCCGCCAAACACAGCTGCCATCGCCTCCACCGCCGTACGTACGACGTTATTGTACGGGTCCTGAAACACACGTTATTGTATGGGTCCTGAAACACGCGTTATTGTACGGGTCCTGAAACACGCGTTATTGTACGGGTCCTGAAACACGCGTTATTGTACGGGTCCTGAAACACGCGTTATTGTACGGGTCCTGAAACACACGTTATTGTACGGGTCCTGAAACACACGTTATTGTACGGGTCCTGAAACACGCGTTATTGTACGGGTCCTGAAACACGCGTTATTGTACGGGTCCTGAAACACGCGTTATTGTACGGGTCCTGAAACACACGTTATTGTATGAGTACTGTAACCCCATAACACATGAGCTATTCTATAAAACCAAATACAACCAACAATATAGACTATATAAATATATGATACGATAATATAATTTATTATTTTATAATATATAATAATGCAATGATATGACAAAATAATAAAAAATAAAATAAAATATAATATATAGTATAATAATATAGTATAGAGATCTCTATATTATACACTCCTAATAATATATATAATATATATAATACATGAGACACGTACTTGCTCAGTGAGTGACCATCCCGACGTCTGACAGTGAGTACGCAGCAGCAGTGACTTCGTGTTCTTAGCATGAAACTTCTCCTTGATGTAGACGGCCCACAAACGCCGCGCCGCACGCAGCTTAGCTATCTCCTGCTCACGAGAAAAACAAGCGCGCGTCGCGTCATACGTGGCGGCCATGTTTGGTCATGCACAAGAGCAAGGACACAATGTGTATGGGTGTGTGCATTTGCGTGTATATATAGTTTTATACACAGGGAGATTAAAGAAAATCTGTAACACAGTAAATTGACTTTAGTTTAGTTTAGTTTAGCTTACTACCCACCATGTAGAAGTTCATTCCAATGCCAAAGAAGAAAGAAAGTCTGGGAGCAAATTCGTCGATCTTAAGTCCAGACATCAGACCTTCCCAATCAAATGAAAAATAAACTTTAACCTAAAATCCATTAACCTTCATATGTCCTTGTATTCATCGACCTTAATTAACCTTCATGAGTGTATGCATACACTTCATTTATTCTGCTTAATTTAATAGGGTGTAAAAGGGAATCAACAAACAACAGTAGGGATATACTTGCTGTCACAAATCTCATAACTACTTGTGATTAAACCACAGCAGTTAAAATGTCATGAATTGTGATAGTAAAACCGTGAGATTTTACTCCTGGAGGCTGGCCGCGATTGCGCCCCTCCGTGTGCGACTCACCCCTCCTACAATACTCGAGTCCGTCGGCGATGGTGAAGGCCAGTTCAAGGGCGGCGTCCGCTCCAGCCTCCTGTATGTGATAACCACTGATCGAGATCGAGTTGAACTTTGGCATGTGCTGCAACAAAAGAAATCGATAAGGATAAATATATAATAATTATGTGTTATATAAAATATGTGTTATAGATAATGTGTTATATAAAATATATAAGAGATAATCTAACCAGGGAATTTATTAATAGATCATACTATTTAATAATTATTGTGATAATAAATAGACAGCCACATCAAAAATAAACTTTGGAATGTCTTGCAATAAAAGTGATCAATGAGTAAATGAATTAATCAATAGACGATATTATATAATCATTCATGTGGTAGTCATGTGGTGGCAGCTAGGTCAAGAGTTGAACTTTTGGATAAATAAAGGAATAAATTAATAGATGCCACTGTATGTGTCCTACTCTATAAAACAAGCGAACGCTAACCTGTCATCTACTCACTGTATGTACCGAAAGATATCATCGCATGAATCCTGCTCTACAAAACAAGCGAACGCTCATCTCTCGGCTGGCCGCAGCGACCGACCGTTGTCGCCGTCCCGCGCTACAAAACAAGCGAACGTTTGCGGACTCACGTGGGCGCTGTATGAGAAGATGTCGCCGATGATTCGCATGGAAGGCTCCGGGGGATAGATGTACGTGTTCCGCACCATGAACTCCTTCAGGATGTCGTTCTGGATCGTTCCCGTAAGCTGCTCCTGCTTCACTCCCTGCGCGCCGACGCAAAACAACGGAACGTCATGGCGCTGACCTCTCATCATCATTATATTATTTTGATAATATATCTTGTTATGTTATGTTATTTTACGTTACGTTACATTACACTATATTACATCACCTCAACATTAACATGGAAGACCCTCCTCCCATCCCCTCCCTCCTCTTCTCACGCTCCTGCCCCCTCCCCCTGCTTCCTGCTCCCTCCCACCCACCTGCTCCTCGGCAGCCACGACGAAGTACGCGAGAACGGGAAGCACGGCTCCGTTCATCGTCATGGAAACGGACATCTTGTCTAGCGGGATTCCGTCGAATAGCAGCTTCATGTCCTCGACGGAGTCTATAGCAACGCCCGCCATGCCGACGTCACCGTGCACGCGCGGGTTGTCAGAGTCGTAGCTGTAATACCGTGTAACATGTATGTATGTATGTATATATGATGGAGT